GAAACACAGACGTTACCCGATGCACATACCGGCTAGCTTAAATGAGGTTGTATTATTTGGCTTCTTAACTAATATCAAATAAACAAAATCGACTGTTCTATTCCTTTTACCTCTTGTCGCTACAACCTGTCAGCAGCAATGTAACATTTTCCAATACTTGCAAGTTGCACAGTCAGAAAGTACACTGTAAACTGCAGCCATGTACTGAATTTAAATCTTGCACAACATTCCCAGATTTCCTACATTCTCTGATGCTTTTATATTCGCTGGATTTCCCGCATCTTCACTGCCACAAACAGTCATTGTGAGTGGGAGCAGCTGCCATTTCTGTTAGTGTTGCTGCACCGCACCACTTTCAAGCTCAAATAACTTGTTGGGTTCTTTACCTGCCCACTGGATTCCCTCAGTGTGTTAATCTGTGATGATAAGAGTGCTGAATTCTGTCTCATGTAATTCATCAGTGCTTCTTCTGGATTGCTTTTCAGCCGATCAGCTTCTTTTTCCAGTGATTCCTTCAGATCTGCGAGTGATGTCTGCAACGTCCCGAACTTTCCAGCCGCCCAGGATTTTTGTTGGCGTACCATATCCACCTGAATGCTCAACTTTTTTACATTTTTTGACATCTTCATAATCTTGATGAAGCCTATCATGAGAGTGTGGGTTCATACCTCACCATAACTGACTCAGATGGCGGCCAAAAATGAAAGGATGAACAACATAATGAAATAGCAAATGAAGTAGACACATATTTTCTCAGCAGATTCAGAAGTTCAAAGAGTTCAAACATCCCGAACTGAGTTCAAACATTTTTAATTTCGAGGTCATAACCCCCAAAAAACTGCATATCACTGTCTACCAGTTCGGGTGTTGCTAGGTACATGACAAAACAGATTCAGTAAAGCTAATGCTTCAATCAAGGGTCACTGGGCTGGTCATCCCTTCGAAAGGGAAAAAAAACGTCAGGTTCATCGGCCGGGCTGGCCACCAGGCAACGAGCCATTGACCAAAGCAACTACTGAAATAGAAAAATTTCCAGCAAAAATTTTGCTGGAAAACTTTTTTTTCTTTCTGAATTCCTTCGCACCTGCGCTATCTGCACTTCCAAGGTCAACCTGGATGCTGCAATCTGCATAGATTGGAAAACAAAACTATCAGTTAAGGAATGTCTGGGATGCTGCATTTAGCCAGAACATCAAAGTCAACATTTATCTAACAGTAAACCCTGATTATGCTTTTATAAATTTGCGATGTGAAGATCCCGACTTTACAAAAATCTTAAGTTTGCCGAAAATAATTGCGCTAAAATAACACCCGTCTCATTCAGTAATAGCGGGACCTAAAAATGCCTCGTTTCTAATTTTATTAGTATGACATACAGGCAACGAATGATTGGATCAGCGAAATGCTACGCTTTTGCAATATCAGCTTGGATGCGATTGCAAAAAAAAAAAAAAAGCAGGGATTAGCGGTTAGAAGGGAGTTAATGTCACTTCAAAAGTAAAATAGCGAAGCAGGGAGTTTGCTCAAGTAGTATATTACAGAGTATATTGCTAATGCCTAGATTTGCAACACAAAAGAAAGAACTACCAGTGAAAGTGAATTGCTCAAACGCTCCATAATACCATGCATATCCGCATAAACTGTATCGATGACATCGCCATGAGCGCGATTTTTCAAATTCTGCGAAATGCGATATCCAAGATCTGTGAGACGTTCGGCAAGCGTCCTCTCAACACTGCTTGTTTCCGGAGCTACGCCCAGTGCTGATTCGGCCATCTTATTTGCATGATCCAGAAATCTGCCGGCCTGTTGTCCAACTTTTTCTGTGGATGCCTGCAAATGCTAGTTTATTTTTCAGCAATTATCAAAATCAGCCGAAATTAAAATAGCCATGCAATTTTTTCCTTTGCTTGCTCAACATCGTGCAAGCATCACCAAAGTGTAGTTTGCTTTGTCCATCTTTTATCTCTCATTCCTATCTCTATAGCCTTTGTTGCATCAAAATTTTTGCATTTCTTTTCTGCTTCACGGTACTAAATCAGCAGAAATGTTTAAAAAAAACCCCCCATTGACTGCAAAAGAAGCCATCCATACTATTCATTTTAGCATTTATCTGACCACTCAAGAAATTTTAAGACCCAGAATATCAGAAAGTAATTATTTACTGTGCACAATCATTATGTCCCAACTAATAAGGAATTTCATCAACAGTGTAGTCGGGACAGCTGTTCCAGGTATTCCAAATATAAACATCAGCACAAAACACTACAAATCTAGTACGAAGCAATGCTACGAGTAAATATCTAGCTAAAAAAACATACACGTGAAACATCGTGTACTTTGTCGGAAAGATTCGAGACCATTTGTCGGGCCGCTGCTGGCGCATTCTGGAAAAGTGATCTAGATTTTAGAGTGTTTTATCACCAAGTTAATAAATCTTAATAAAAAATGTAAAATTTTCACAGTTAAATTATCAATACGGGAGAATTAGCTGGTGTCCTGTGGTTTAGGCAGCGCCAAAAGCCAAAATTCCTTCCGTAATTCACCATCCATGAGGAACGGAAATACTTGGAAGTAGCCAAACTGGTAGCAAATGCCAAGAGCAGAGAACCGCTGGTAGGGTTTTTGGTGGCTTTCTTTTACGACAGCTCGTTAGAAGAAAGTTGATAACATATGCCAGTACCAATTTACCATCGAAATGAATGAATACATGGGAAACTGAGCTATTTTCTTACCTATTTATTGACATTTACTGGCCATTACGCAATGCCTGTAATCCTCAACATCCAGAAGAAAAACATCTGAACAATTTGCCTATTTAATAAAAGAAAGGATGGAAAAAAAGAACGTACGGCGGCAGATGCAGTAACGGTCTGTACTCTTTCTCGGCCACTGACAACAGCATTGACAATCATATTGATAATAGCAAGGAAAATGGTTAAACTAAGTTGCAGCATAATAACAACGGCACCAATACTGAATGTTGCCACTCTTTCCAGTACGTGTGCAACTTGGCCTAAAACAAAAATTCCTCCAAACTTTGACAGATTCCCACGTTAGTGGATTTTGCACTCTCTCTCTCTCCTCATTTCTCTGTTGGTGTCACTCATATTATAGGAATCCGCGGTAACACTTTT